TAAATATCTCACCAGAAGCTTCTTTTGAATTGTCATCTGCTTACATAAAATTATATTATTAAATGGCTTTTTAAAAGTGACACTGAAATTTGTTTAATAGCCATTAAATGCGATAACTCTATGCGCTAGAATTAAATTCAATCGATTTTTAGAGACTTTAGTATTTAAAACAAACCATTTTATATTAGAGATATATTAAACTAATTTCAGTATCATATTTTTCAATGATGGCTACTTTGAAATAATAAATAAATCATTGGATTATTTATTATATTATTATTTATATTATTTTGATATTTTTTAAATATAAATAATATTAAAATATTAATTAACAATATATTATATAATGTTTATATAATAATAATTATTTTTAAAAAAACATTAATAATCATTTAAAGAAAAATAAAATATTTTTGTTTTCACATAACTGGAAATTTGTGTTTGAAGTGAAAATCACTAATAATAATTAACAATATATTATATAATGTTCATATAATAATAATTATTTAAAAAACATTAGTAATTATTTAAAAAAATAAAATATTTTTGTTTTCACGTAACTAAAATGTGTTTGAAGTGAAAATTACTAATAGTAATCATTTAAAAAAACATTTTTGTTTTTACATATAATTATAAAATGTATGTAAAGTAAAATTAGATTTACGAAAAATTATTTTAAATTATTTTTATTTTTTTTTGTTCCTTCTTTAGGAAGACGATCGCCAGCATGTTGTAACCATGATTTAATAACGGCTTGTATTTTATCAATCGTAGAATCAGTTCGACAATTAATTATGGTTTCTGAAATAAGAAAATTAAATTATAAGTACAACACACATATATTTTAGAATATATAAAGCACTCGATTATCATATTCTGAACCTTTCCAAATTATACTAATAAACATTTAAACAAAAATTTTGTATATAACAGCAATGCCAGTATTTATAAAGTTTGTATTAAAAATTGTGAGAAAATTCTATTATCAAATCATATTTTAGTCATACTGTCATCATAATTAAGTATTATGATGTATAATTGATAATAAATGAACATGCTAAAATTAAGTTTCCTTATTGACTGATTTAATATTGAATATATTCTTACGGTCTAAAAATGTATTTGTCGTTATAAACAATTATTTAAAGTGATGTATAGTAAAAATTTAACTTTATATACAGTAAACTATTATCAAATGTATATAAAAAAAGAAATTTAAAATAGTATTATTAATGATTATAGAAATAGTATAGATAAAATATGTTAATCAAAAATAAGACATTTCGTTTTCATAAAAAATTAATAAGATATAAATATCCAAGCGATTTGTCTTAAAACATACTCTCTAAAAGAAAATGATAAATAAATAGTACAAAAAAAGATAGATACCAATTATCAAATCAATAAACTTCATTTTTTTACGCTTATCGTATTCTTTTGTCCTGTCCATGATATTTTATATGCCATTTGATCAATCAAGGTTGCAGTTAAAGCATTTCGTACATGCTTTTCAAACGTTGTACCACCAATGTTTTTAATCATTTTTTTCTGTAAAATGCAATAATATTTTGATTAAGAATATGTAATAACATTTTTGATGCCAAAATTAATTAGAAATAAATTAACAAGACATAGTTTAATTAGAGTACACACACACTAAAATTAAATAAATGTTGAAATACAATAACAAAACACTTACATATTGTGAACGAGCTACAGCATCTTCCTTCAGCAATATTTCAATATCGTTTAATTCCTTTTCTGTCGTAATAGGCAAGTTTAAGGTCAGATTATTGGTATCATTGCGAGGCCCTTCACTTATATCCAATACAAGAAGATAAATAGAATTTATTGCTTTTTTAATTGCTTGAATATCTGTACGACATGGTGCTATAAAAAAATCAGATATAATAAGACAATTTAATTATTGAACAGACAAAAATTTGTAATTGTATTTACTGCAACATAAGTCATGATGTTCATGTGTATGTTGTTTGTTTCGTCCTTCAACATTGGTTTGTGGATGTGCATAATTTTTATCGAGCCTAATATCTGAAATTTGTTTTGATATATTAACTGTTAGAGGTACGACAATTCTATCAAAATAACAGAATAATTTATAAGTCATATATATGTAATTCACATTACATCATATTATTAATATTTATTGAATGTATGAAGCTTACTGGTTTCAACGATACTACGAATAATTGGTTTCTCTTTTAATTGATATATTTTCTTGTTATCCAATTGAGATGAATCTACAAAGAAAATTATTGTGTTAAAAAATATTTAAAAAATTAATATTATTATAAATTTATTCCAAATTTCTGTATTTTTTAACTTACCAAATTCATTTTGTCGCGTCGATGTTTGATTTGTATTATTTACATCATCTTTTACTTCAAACATATCTTGTGTTTCATTATTATATTCTTTAACATTTTGTTTTTTGGCTCATTCTCAAATTCTTTTAATATTAGAAATGAATCCTGAGAAAAGAGATCTCCATATTCCAGAGGTAGACTTTCAGGAACTGTTATCAAATTGTTGTTTTCTTCACTATTATTAAAACTGTTTGATACACCTATGAAAAATTTAATTAAGTGCATTTTTTCAAAATTTAAATATTTAAATTTTATCGAACAAACAAATATAAATTTAAATCCTGCGCACAATAAAAAAATATTAGAAATAAATATTTATTGTTAAAAATAGTAATTATTTTAAAATTATAAAATCTTACAAATAAAGGACTCTAATATACAAATACAAATTCGGGTAAAGAATTCTTAATAAAAGTATAGGAGCCCTTTATACCCGAATTTATATTTGTATATCAGTCTATTATTTTAAAAATTTTATTATTTTAAAATAATTCCTATTTTTAATATTTAATATTCCTAATATTTTCTCTATTATAAACAGGGACTTCAAAATTTTATCATCGCACCTGCTGCAACTTCGCTTATGATTTCCTTTTTCTTATTTTTTGGAATATATTGGATTGGAGGTTTTTGAAAATTCTTTTGAACATCTATAAGAAAATATGTGAATATATTAAATAACAAACATTATTAAATATATAATATATATATATATATATATATATATATATATATATTATATGTTGATTTCGAGAACCGATTAATATTCTAAATATTATTATTATTAAAGTATAATTAGTTAGTGAATATTTTTAATGATTTACTATATGAGAGTTTAGACCTTTTTCTGAATCTTCATCAGATTCTTTATCTTCATCTTCGTCTTGATGAGGAAAACTATTACTTTTTATAGATTTTAGAAGTTTTTCATTTTTAACATCTATAAAAAATATTATAAAATAGTATTAATTAAAATGTAAATATTTAGAAGAGAAAATATTAAAATAGTATTAATTAAAATGTAAATTTTAGAAGAGAAAAATATTAAAAAATACAATTTTTATTAATTTATAAATTTAAAATGAATTTAAATGCTTACATGATTTCTGATTTTCTTCGTCAGAAGAATAAAGACGGCGCGGTTTATTGATCGCACGTTTTACAGAAAGTGGCTTATTATTGTTAGTTACTTTAACTGTTGCAAGTGCTTGCAATGCATCTTCATCATTAGTCGAAATATCAACAGCTTGGATTTCAATATCTCTGGCTTCATTATATGTAGCTTCAAAATAATATAAAGAATACAATAAAAATATTTGAATATAAAATAATTGATATTAAATTAACATTAAACTTACCAAATGGTCCTATAAATCTAGTATAATGAATCGTATCCCAATCTTCTTTTGGTAATATTGCTTTAATGCATAAATGAGTCGGATTTTTAGGTTTGGGTGGCCATTTGAAAGTTTTGGATTCCATAAATAACCAACAACTTGGTATCGTAGCACTCCATTCTTTCCAAAATACAACAAAATACATTTCTGAAATTAAAAATGTTTCACTTTGAAAAAAATAATCTTGATTTATTCTAAAGTAAATTTATTAATAATATCGCAATATATGTATATATAATTTTTTATCATCATGTTAACTGTTGTAAATAATAATTTAATCATATTAAATAAAAATAATTTCTATAAATATTAATCAAGCAGTGTTGAAGATATAGTTAGAATTTTTTACTTATAAATAAAATATTTAATAAATTGAAATTATATAATTAGAATGATTTTTAGAAAGTAATATATATAGCACTTAATTTTTGGAAGAAAACATATCTGAATAAATTACAATAATATGATTTTGAGAAAAAAACTTTTTATGTGTTAAGTATAATCTCAAATAAAAGTCTATTAAACTTACCTATATTACACACTTAACGTTTAATACCGATTTGAGGAAAAATTATGTTGCAACTCGTTACAGCTCGTAGAAGCACATACATAAAAAATTATAAAAAATCCGGCTCTCTTTCCAATTTTGATAGCGATTATATGTTTGATGGTATACTCCGTATACACTCCGTCTAAACCGCAATTATGCGCAGATCTTCACGATATTATTTAATCACTAATATATTTAATCACTATAATATATATATATATATATTTATATATATATATATTATATATATACATATATATATGAAACACAGTTTGAAACCTTCAGCGATCGATACACACATAAATAGTTAAATACTTATATAAATATATTTATGATAATGTTATCATTTCTCTAAATATAATTTTTAATATTACTTTTTATATTTATATAAATTACATGTAATAGCTTTGTTATCATTTTAAAATCAATTTTTATTTTACAAAGACGAATTATATAATATAAACATAATATAAATTAGAAGTACTTTTATATGTTTGAGTAATTTTTTTACACGCATGAAATGGAATATGATTAATAAGAAAATAATCTTTTTGATTAGTTGTTAAAATATAAAGTATGTTTATAAATAAAGTTTATATCGATATATATGACAAAATAAAATCAGTAAAAGTATAATAGCTTTAAATTATTAATTATATTATTTTCTATATTATGAATTGGAAATAAAATAATCGTTTTAATTATATGAATGTAGCAAAGGCAAGAAACAATATGATTTCTTATATGGGATACATACAGCTTTTCTGGTAACATTATTTGCATCAAAATTTGTTGAATGAGACCATTGATTCCCGATTACAATATCAAACTCCTTAGAATCAATAGGATAATTTGGAAATCCTATAGGATTTATCAATGATTCTCCAATTAAAATAGGATTGTCATTATTTAAACAAATATTTTTAACGCGTACAATAGTGTCATCTTGCAAATAACAAAACTGATCCGCTTTATTTATTGTTGATAGTGTAAATTTATTGTAATGTATAGTATTATATGAAGCAATACCAAGTTCCTCGGATTTTTTATTATTTTTACACATCACTTTAGGTTTCTCGAAAAAAATAATCTTTTTTTTTAAATTACATGCAACATGTTCTACAATTCGATTGTGTAGCTGTTGTAAAGGTTTTTCTGCTTTTTTAAGTTTTTTTTTAATATTATATAAATAACTCTCAAATGAAAAAGCACTGAATGAATCGAGATGACCAAATTTTAAAACATCATCGGCTAAATGAATTAAATTGTGGGTATTATATATCAAAAAATTAGTACCAAACAATTCAATACATTTTTCCACAAAATAATTCAATAAATCTTTCGCATATTTATTATTTCTTTTGCAATCTGTTTCGTGACAAAGAATCCTGATTGCACAATGTAATGAAATAAAATGGATCAAATATTTCTTTGGTAAATAATTTTGTAGAGCAACTGGACCTACATACAATAAAAATAATCTTAATTCAGTCGCTTTCCATCGATCCAAATTTTCTAATTCACGAGTTTTTCTTGCAAATTCAGATGGAATCCATTTGGCTATTGTTTTTAAATTTGCAGATATTTCTTTGATCATTTTAGCAGAAAACTTTTGTTTATGAGAGCCATGTGTAAAAGTTTGTAAGATTTTTTTTACAACTCCGAGGCAAATCAGATGCATGTAATCAAGTGGGAATTGCGAAACCATCCCTAAACCTGTTTCTTCAAACGGTGATGTTCCAAAATGATGCTCTTCATCAATATGTAGCATTCATCATCCACACCTTTCATTTACACTCTACACTTTTATTACACCTTACACTTTTCACTGCACTTTTACACTTTTTACATCTTTATACATTTGTAATAACTTCAATTCATTAATATACATAATGTTTTTAAGAAAAATCAATATTTCCATAACAACACATTCATTCATTTATTTGTTACATATTAATTCTTTTTGTTCTTTCGCTTTATACTTTCAATGAATAAACATTACTTTTTCAAAGATCTGGTGAATTTATTTATAAGTCGCTACATTTTTGGTGACCCCGACGTGATATTAAAGCCGACGTGATATTAAAGCCGACGTGATATTAAAGCCGACGTGATATTAAAGCCGACGCATTTTAAAGGCTGATGCGGAATAAGTGCCAAGTGATCGTCGTATTTGAAGTCTGCGAAATATTATCATCGCTTGGAAGAATTGCTGGATATTCTGATTTTAAGAGATTCATTCTCCGGATCTTTGAAACATCAGAGGCGGATTAGTCCTTCACGGAAATTCTCAAATCATTTTATCGGATTCCTGGAACAAGAGGAAAATGCCAATCGATAGATCACCAGTTAGACCCTGTTCGGATACACAGATTGATATGGATTTGGCGAGCGGATCAAATCAGGTTGGATCAGATAATATTAATATTTTACCTTCTCAAACTGGACATCAGGTGAGTGATCCTATGTTACAAATTCACTCAAATGAGTTTCGTTTATTAAAACTACCGACTTTCTGGCATAAACAACCTAAACTCTGGTTTGCTTCTATTGAAAGTGAGTTTACGGTTTATCGAATTCGATCAGATGATATTAAATATAGTTCTGTCATTCGTCATCTTGATGAACAAGCCTTAGTAAACATATCTGAAGTCATTGAAAATCCACCTGAAACAGATAAATATAATTATTTAAAGAAAATATTAATAAATCGCTTTACGGATTCAGAGGAAAAACGTTTGAGACAAATATTAGCTGGAATTGAACTTAATGATAAAAAGCCTTCGGAATTACTTCGAGAAATTCGTCATTTGTCTGGAGGATCTTTAGCAGATAGTGTTTTGCAAATGATTTGGCTTCAACGCTTACCACATAGAATTCAAACGACTTTAGCCGTAGTAGAGGATGTTCCTCTTGTTAAACTTGCGGAATTAGCCGATAAAATTGCTGATCGGGACGGCGGTTTGCAAGTCGCGGAAGTTTCCAATAATGCAAGTAATAAATCTTCGGATTTCGCGGATTTGCTACGAAGAATCGAAGCTCTTGAAGTTTCTCGTCGTCGAGATCGTTCCAAAAGCCGGTCTAGAGAGAATAGAAGATTTAGATCGTTATCGCGTAACAAAGACAAATCAAATAAAGATATTAAAGATACATCAATTTGTTTTTACCATAAGAAGTTTGGTGATAAGGCTAAACGATGTACTTTACCTTGTTCTATGTCCAAAACATTCTTGGCTTCACAGGAAAACTAAAAACGCCGCTTAAGACTGAGGCTGCTTACGACGGTGTTTCTAACAATCGCCTCATTATTTTCGACAGACATTCAAATTTGAATTTTCTTGTCGATACGGGCGCTGATATATCGTTGTTACCTAAAAAGGTTTTATTGAAGCCGTGGCATACTAATTTAAAACTTTTTGCCGCAAATGGTACTCAAATTAATACTTACGGTTCTAAAACTTTAATTTTGAACCTCGGTTTAAGGAGAGAATTCAAATGGAAATTTTGTGTCGCGGATATTCAACGTCCTATTTTAGGCGCCGATTTCCTTTGTCATTTTAATCTCCTAATTGACATTAAAAACAAGAAATTGATTGATAATGTTACCGGTCTTATGAATACTGGAAAAATTCAAGAAGTTGCACATTTGTCAATTTTTACCACATCTCCTGATTCTGTGTACCACAAATTTTTAACCGAATTTCCAGGACTCACCCGTTTTTCTCCAATTTCCTCGGTAAAAACACATGGTGTTGAACATCATATCGTTACGGAAGGTTCTCCTAAATTTTCGACTCCCAGAAGACTTACTCCTGAGAAACTTAAATGTGCCAAGGAAGAATTCAAGTCTATGATGGAGCAAGGAATTTGCAGGCCTTCAAGCAGCTCCTGGGCAGCCCCTCTACATATGGTACCTAAAAAGGAACAAAATTCTTGGAGACTGTGTGGTGATTATCGTGCACTCAATTCAGTGACTATCCCGGATCGTTATCCCTTACCTCATATTCAAGATTTTTCTTCTTCACTTTTTGGTAAGAATATCTTTTCTAAAATCGACTTAGTTAAAGCGTACTATCAAGTACCCGTCGCTAAAGAAGATATTCACAAAACAGCTGTCACTACTCCATTTGGGCTTTTTGAATTTGTCGTAATGCCTTTCGGTTTACGAAACGCAGCCCAAACTTTTCAACGGCTCATGAACTCTTTACTTAATGATTTGAGTTTTGCCTTTTGTTATCTTGATGACATTCTTATTGCTTCTAAAGATGAGAAAGAACATATTGCTCACTTACGCATTATTTTTGATCGTCTTCAACAAGCTGGAATGACAATCAATGTCGCTAAATGTCTTTTCGGTCAAAGCGAGATTTCTTTTCTTGGTTACTTAGTTTCTAACCAAGGAGTTAAACCTACATCCGAAAAAGTGAAATCAATTATTGATTATCCTAAACCTAAGACACTTCATGAATTACGCAGATTCTTAGGAATTATCAATTATTATCGTCGCTGTCTCAAGGATGCTGCAAATCATCAAGCTCTGTTAACAGAATATTTAAAGGACAGTCGCAAGAGGGATAGAAGAATTATTTCTTGGACTAAAGAAGCGGAATTAGCTTTCGAGTCATGTAAAGAAGAACTTTTACAAGTTACTACCCTTTCTCATCCTGCTCCTCATGCTCCTCTTATTTTAACTTGTGATGCTTCTGACTTTGCTGTTGGTGCATCACTTGAACAGTCTATTGACGACGATATCAAACCAATAGCATTTTTCTCAAAGAAACTAGACAAAGCTCAAAGAAATTATAGCACTTATGATAGAGAACTTCTTAGCATTTATTTGGCTATTAAACATTTCAGGCATTTTGTTGAAGGAAGACAACTGATTATCAGAACTGATCATAAACCTTTGATTTTTGCTTTCCGTCAGAAATTGGATAAAGCGTCACCAAGACAGATCAGACAATTGGACTTTATTGCTCAATTCTCTACAAATATTACCTATATTTCTGGAAAAATGAATTCAGTTGCTGATGCTCTGTCAAGAATTGAATCTATTTCAATGCCTATTATAGTTTCTTTAGAAGAACTTGCTAATTATCAGAAAGAAGATGAAGAACTTCAAGTTTTACTTTCTTCAAATTCTTCACTTCTGTTGAAGAAACTTATTCTTTCAGGATCAACCATACCTATTTATTGTGATTGCTCTTCGGAATTAATTCGTCCATATGTTCCTAAACTCTTACGCAAGAGAATTTTTGATGTTGTTCATGGACTCGCTCACCCCAGCGGCAGATTGACATCTAAACAATTACTACTGAAATTCATTTGGCCTTCTTTGAAGAAAGATGTGAAGGAATGGACTCGAACTTGTCTTCCATGTCAACGTGCGAAGATTTCAAGACACACCAAGAATTCTCCAATTAAGATTGCAATTCCTGATCAACGCTTTCAGCATGTGCATTTAGACATTGTTGGACCACTTCCTATTTGTCAAAATTACCGTTATTGTCTTACTATGATTGATCGTTTTTCCAGATGGCCTGAAGCTGTTCCTATTTCTGAGATTTCTGCTGAAACTATTTCTACAACATTTTATTCACATTGGGTAGCACGTTTTGGTTCTCCTATCAGCATTACAACAGATCAAGGTCCTCAGTTTGAAGCAGCTTTATTCAAAGCTTTAACAAACCTAATTGGATGCCAAAGGATTAGAACTTCTGCTTATCATCCTGCTTCAAATGGAATTCTGGAAAGATGGCATAGGACTTTGAAAGCAGCGATTATGTGCCACGAAACAACCAACTGGGTAGAATCTTTACCTTCAGTTCTTTTGGGATTACGTTCGTGTTTCAAAGAAGATTTAAAAGCTTCACCTGCAGAACTTCTTTATGGATCCACTCTTCGTATTCCTGGAGAATTTTTCATTGAAGAAGATTTTCCTGCAGATCCTGAAATCTTTCTTGAAAAACACAGGATTCATATGAGGAATATCAGATCATCTCCTACAAGTCATCATTGCAAAAGATCACCTTTTGTTCACAAGAATCTTTTTGATTGTACTCATGTTTGGATTCGAGAAGATACTGTTAGGAAGTCACTACAACCTCCTTATTCTGGCCCTTTTCCTATTGAGAAACGTATCTCTGATCATTTATTTGCAGTTAATGTTTCAGGAAGAGTTGTCAATATTTCGACAGAACGTCTCAAGCCAGCCTTCATTCCTAGAACTTCAGATTCTACTGAACTTTCTACCAGATCTTCAGCTCCTGTTCTGCTATTTCAACTCCTGTTCCTGCTATTTCAACTCCTGTTCCTGCTACTTCAGCTCCTGTTCCTGCTACTTCAGCTCCTGTTTCTGCTACTTCAAATCCTTCTTCTTCTTCTACTGTTGGAAAAGCTTTACGCACCTACCCACCAAAGAAGAAGAAAGTCCATTTCGCAACGAATATCGTCACTTGGGGGGGAGTACTGTAGCATTCATCATCCACACCTTTCATTTACACTCTACACTTTTATTACACCTTACTTTTCACTGCACTTTTACACTTTTTACATCTTTATACATTTGTAATAACTTCAATTCATTAATATACATAATGTTTTTAAGAAAAATCAATATTTCCATAACAACACATTCATTCATTTATTTGTTACATATTAATTCTTTTTGTTCTTTCGCTTTATACTTTCAATGAATAAACATTACTTTTTCAAAGATCTGGTGAATTTATTTATAAGTCGCTACAAATACGTTGGA